CTACACTTAGCTGGTTGGTGGTTTCAACCCCTCTGAAGAATATGAGTTCGTCAGTTGGGATGATTACTCCATTCCCTATATATATATCAATATATGGAAAGTCATAAAATTCAGGTTCCAAACCACCAACCAGCTATCATATTGTCCAACAATAATCACATATATTACTGTACAGCATCCCATTAACATCAATTAACATTACATGGTGTACCCTCCTTGGTAATTTGTTAGATTATTGTATGTTGATAGGTCATAACCCACACCTTTCTCCACCCCTGCACCAACCTCGCGCAGCTCAGCCAAGCGCGGTGGACGTTCCAAGACCTGCTGCACCTGGCCGTGGCCTGAGGTTTAGAACTTGGAAAAATCATGCGAAAATCATGGGAACACCATGGAAAAAAACATGGGAAGATCATGGAAAATCATGGAAAAACACGGAAAAAAACATGGAAACATGTGGGAACAGATGTTTTTTTGGGGAAAATACGGGAAAAAACACGCAGCATCTACTGTAAATGAAAGAATCTGTTGTTTAAAGATGGTTTAACATGGTTCAACCGGTTTAACCACGGAACATGAAGTTTCACTAACACTGATGACGTCAAGGTCTTTCTTGAGAGAAACATACATGCATTTCTCATTTGTGTGTGTGAGGTTTCTGTTGAGTATAGACCTATACGGCCTATACCGTATAACCAGCCATGTTTGGTGTCTTCACTAGCCATCTAGGAGTAGTCCCCTTCATGCCAACTCCTCAGGAGAATTCCTGAGATCTCTGGGAGGAGCCAGGATACCCTGAAAGAGTGAAGCTTTGATGTTTTGCTGTGAAAGAGTATTACATTAAAACAGGTCCTGACATTCAAATGGCAAAGAAATATCTAGAAATGCCAACAAGAAACACAGACACCTCTTCACAATTCACCTACTAAAGATGGTCGATATACCCGCTGGACGTCCCGATTGATTGTATCTGGTCCAAGTCAGGGGGGAGCACATACGTGGCTCCCTTGGTGCCCCATCTAAAGAGTCTAAACCACGGGCGCCCTGCTCCGAACCAATTCCTCCAACAGAAGTTTGTTCGGGAAGTCCCAGGAACGTTCCAGCGACCCCCCCAAAACCCTATGGTTTTTTCCCGCACTGTAGAATAATCATGTGCTTGATTTTAAATTCTAGATTCTAGATTCTAATTCTAAACAAAGGAAAACGGACAGTGAGGGGAACAAACCAGCTTCTTGTAGGATCTGAGACACTGAGATACACTGAGTAATAATACATTTCTTGAGCAACTTGACATAGATATCTCGCTGTATCCCAAAACCATGGGCCAAGACGCCTCTGGCACTGGTGGCACCTCATCCTGCGCAGAGATTGCATGAGGGAAGTTCAATGACCAGGCTCTCAACGTGTAACTTAGCAACGTGCTGGTTTGTCGATCTCATCCAAATTGTGGAAAACCTGTAGTGGGATAAACGGATAAACCATAGCCGCGCGGGAGCTATCCGCTATCCCATCATCCCCGAAAAAGGCCAGGAATCGAAGTGTGTGGCCGCCAACAGTGCGGATCATCTGTGGCCCTGTCATGTGGGGCTGGACTGGCGAAGACACTCAGGCGATTTTTCAGTCAAGTATTGATCGCGAAAGAGCTCATAGTAGGCAGCTAACGACCACATCCTGAACCACCAAGCTCCCAAGATTACTTGGAAAGGTAACCCTCTGCAGGTTCTGGTGAAAGTTTCTCCCAAACGTCAGTCTCTGCAGATTGCTTGGCAAGGTCACACCTTCTAGGTTCTGGTTGAAGTCGTCACCAAACGTCAAGCTTTGTAGATCGCTTGGCAAAGTCACGCGCCTTAAGTCCTGGTTGAAGCTTTTCCCAAACGTCAGGCTCTGCAGATTCCTTGGGAATTTCACGCCCTCCAGATTCTGGTTGAAAGCAAAACCAAATGTCAAGCTCTGCAGAGCACTTGGGAAGAACACACCCTCCAGGTTCTGGTTGAAGGCCAAACCAAGCGTCAAGCTGAGCAGATTGCTTGGGAAGGTCATACCTGCCAAGTTCTGATTAAAGTTTGTCCCAAACGTTAGGCTCTGCAGATTGCTAGGGAAGGTCACGCCCTGCAGGTTCTTGTTGAAGCCTCCCCCCAACGTCAGACTCTGCAGATTACTTGGGAATTTCACGCCCGCCAGGTTCTGGTTGAAATAAAAACCAAATGTCAAGCTCTGAAGAGTGCTTGGGAAGGTCACCCCCTCAAGGTTCTGGTTGAAGCCAACACCGAATGTCAAGCTCTGCAGATTGCTTAGAAAGTTCATGCTGTTCAGGTTGAACTGATCACCAAACGTCAAACTTTGTAGATCACTTGGCAAGGTCACGCGCTTCAAGTTCAGGTTGAAGTTTCTTCCAAACGTCAGGCTCTGCAGGTTTCTTGGGAATTCCACGCCCTCCAGGTTCTGGTTGAAAGCAAAACCAAATGTCAAGCTCTCCAAAGCACTTGGGAAGGTCACGCCCTTCAGGTCCTGGTTGAAGCAGTCACCAAAAGTCAAGCTCTGCAAAGTGCTTGGGAAGGTCATACCGTCCAGGTTCTGATTAAAGTTGAACCCAAACGTTAGCTTCTGCAGATTGCTTGGGAAGGTCACGCCCTGTAGGTTCTGGTTGAAGGCTGTACCAAATGTCAAGCTTTGTAGATCGCTTGGCAAGGTCACGCACTTCATTCTCTGGTTAAAGGCCGAACCAAACGTCAAGCTCTGCAGATTTCTTGGGAAGTTCACACTCTCCAGTTTTTGGTTGAAGCAATCTCCAAATGTCAAGTTCTGTATATTACGTGGGAAGGTCATTCCCTTCAGCTTCTGGTTGAAGTATTTCCCAAATGCCAAGCTCTGAAGATTGATTGGGAAGGTCACGTCCTCCAGGTTCTGGTTGAAGTCATCACCAAACGTCAAGCTCTGTAGATTGCTTGGGAAGGTCACACCCTTCAGGTTATGGTTAAAGTTTCGCCCAAACGTCAGTTTCTGCATATTGCTTGGGAAGGTCACGTCCTCCAGTTTCTGGTTGAAGGCTTTACCAAACGTCAAACTCTGTAGATTGCTTGGGAAGGTCACACCCTCCAGCTTCTTGTTGAAGTCGTCACCAAATGTCAAGCTCTGCAGAGTCTTTGGGAGGTTGCGCAAATAGTCACTGGTTGTGGCACCCTGTATGCATGTCAGCCCTTCCACTGCAAGTGGGTCTTGGCTTTCCCTTCCTTGGACAAAGGACCATGCAGCACACAGATCCATTGAGCAAAGGGTGTATGTCAATGTCGCTTCTGGGCCCACTATACCTTGCGCTTGCAAGGTCTTGTCCAACATCAACTGCGAAACGCCTTGATACAAAAGACATTTCGCACCCGGTCTGGATGGAAGCTTCTCTGCGACCATCTCTCGCACTTCCTGACCGGTGCAAAGTGCAGGAAACTTCTTTCGAATCAATTCTTCACCACCCAAACCACAAACCCGGAGCTCCACGTCAAGTTGAGGCAGTTGGTCCCCCTGGGCATCCGAGGGCGCGGCACATACATAACCGAGGCCGCCGGTCGACATTGCAAGGCCGGGCGATCATGGAAGTGGTGTAAGCCGCGCGAGCATCTGCTTGTGGATTCATATCTGTGGGGCTTGAAGAGGTTCCCAACCCGACATGGGGGTTGAAGAAAAGCATGTAACCTCTGGAGTAAATTCATCACAATTTGGATGCATGGACCTCTCGACCATTCCCCGAAAAGAGATGAAAAGAGTGGAGATGACGGTGATTTTCTCAACAAGCTATAATTGGACCAAGGGTTCCCCAGAAGTGCCTGCACATTTTTTTCGGGTAAAAAAATCATGATCCTTGCTGTAGCCACCTAAACCTGCAATCGGAGACGTGAGCCGCTCTGAAATGCGTTGCATCAAAACACTGGCCCCACAAATTGACAATCCAAATTGTGCCTCGAAGATTTTAATGAATATATTTGGTGGAGTAAATTTCGCCGCCTGGTGGAGTTTTTGGGCTTGGGGCCGTGGTGCATGGTGAAGTTTGTTGTGGAATTTCTGTGGATTTGTTTAAAGAGGAAAATACAAGAAAATAAAAATTTGCCGATTCTTCGCCGCAAACTTCGCTGCATACTCATACTACATACTCCAGTCAGAAACTTCGCCGCAAATTTCGCCGGCAAAACTTCGCCAGCGAAAGTTTGCCAACAAAATTGCGCCAGTTATTTGCATTTTACAAATAAATAGGTTGCCCTTGTGGGCACTTACGCAAACATGAATGTTCATCAGGATAAACCTGGAACAAAAGTCAAATTATTTGATTGGCAGCTTCCCCGGTTTTTCCCACTACCAATCGGTTTTTTGTCGATAATTGCATGGTTATCTGATTTGGTGGTTTTCCCCGAATTTCGGCGGTACCAAACCCATCCAAACCCATTGCAACAACAAGTGCCCAGTTCGTCCCAGTACAGCGCAGGGCCCTATTTTGGGGCTTAGATCAACATCTGTGTTGAAGAAATGTCCGTTTTTTTCCCTTTCGGCATTTTGGCACGCTTCTACAGGATGGGGCCCCCCAGTTATAAGTTGGTTTATAAACCATCATAACCCCCATTAACTATTATAGTTATAGTTATATCTACCATAAACCATAGAATTCAGCCACTTATAAGGCAACTGAACGCTATCTTGGGGGCCCCATCCTGTATTTTTTTTCCCATGTTGATGGTGTTCTATTGCTGAAACCTTATGAGTTCCAAAAAGTCCGGGCTCTGGCCTTGGTGAAATAGCTAACAAGCACCATGTTTAATCAGTAAATCATCATGTGTTGCATCTATAAATGGGCCATGTCCCATAGGTCTGTTAATTGAGCCATTAAAAATACAGAGGGAAAAAAACCTCAGAGTGCAGTTTTTTAACTGTTCTCCTACACATGCACTGACAGCTTCTGCTTGGCACATCTGCAATGGCTATGTAAATACTGTGCAACCATTGACAATTTCTGCTTGGCATCTCTGCAATGGCTAAACGAATCCAAAAAAACAAGAAACAAAAAATGACAAGACCCAACTCTCTGCCACTACTTCCCCCCTTGGGGTTTGCAATCTTGTTTTTGTTTGTATTGTGTTTGTTTTGTTTTTTTTTTGTTTCTTGTTTTTTGTTTTTTTTGGTTTCTTGTTTTCTGGTTCGGTCTTGGTTTTTTGGAGGGCTGGCAAAAAAACACAAAGTGAAGGACCTGTTGACCTAGACCTAACCCTTTGCCAGTTCTCCCACTTTAGGGGTTGCAAACTTGCTTTTGGGGTTTTGAGCCTTTTTTGACGTGAAGATGTCGAAAAAGTAGACACTGATTAACTTAACTAACTTGACTAACTTAACTAACTTCACTAACTTCACTACCCTAACTTCGACGACAACAGCAACAGCAACAGCAACAACAACAACAACAACAACAACAACCACAACCACAACCACAACCACAAAAACAACCACAACCACAACCACAACCACATCCACAACCACAATCACAACAACTACAACTACAACAACTACAACAACTACAACTACACAACAACTACAACTACAACTACAACAACTACAGCTACAACTACAACAACTACAACTACAACAACAACAGCAACAACAACAACTACTACAACAACTACAACTACGTTTACAACTACACAACAACTACAACTACAACTACAACAACTACAGCTACAACAACAACTACTACAACTACAACAACAGCAACAACAACAACAACTACAACAACTACAACTACACTACACAACAACTACAACTACACAACAACTACAGCTACAACTACAACTACTACAACTACGACAACTACAACTACAACAACTACAACTACAACTACACAACAACTACAACTACACAACAACTACAACTACACAACAACTACAACTACAACTATATGACTGCAACTACACTACACTAATTACATTACACCACAACTACAACTCCACTACGCTACAACTACAACTACAGTTGTAGTACATCACACTACATCCAGCAGTTGTGGGTGAGGTGACCACTGCAACCATTGCAACCACTCCAGCAAACACAACTCCAACCACCTTTCAGTCCATCAGTGGCTTCGCTCTGCCATCCCTGATTCACAACAACCAATTTCTCCTATAGGTTTCCTATTTTTGAAACTTCCGCCACCGCCTTGTGCGGTACTACTGGTATTGAAAACATTTCTTTAAGTGAGAGTTGTCTAAATGAAGGCCGGGCTGATCTGACCAAGGGGAAGAGTACACATGTCAAACAAAAGTAGTCCAGTTTTGCCTACGGCACGAGAAAGAAAGAAAGAACATGGCAGAAAAATCTTCCTGTGAAGAAGCAGCATTCTTGCGTGTTCACTACTCGGTGCTGTCTCTAAGTCTAAGGAAGCAAAGTCTCTCACACCCGTAGGCACCCCTAATAAGCCAGCAACTCTCAGTACAGCTCGGGCAGCATGTAGACATCTAATATCGGACAAAACCACTTTAGTAGCTAACTAGTAGCGAAGTCCAGGACAAGCCTGGTGACATCGTGCTTTCCAGTTCCAGCATCTTTCAGAATGCATTGTTTCTAGCCGCATTTAAAATATAAGTCAGCTGTTCATTGGATTGCGAGAATTCAGTATTTGGACGAAGAAAGTCCCAAACAAAACTGAGTGAGGAGTCAAGCCATTTTCTTCTGGACCTTCCCACCCGTCGGAACATGACTTCAAAAGGAATGGCCGTATTTGGACGAAAACTCACGTTCCGCAAGGGGTGACTATGATCTTGGCGCAAAATATGTCCAGTCAAGGCAATTCTCTGGTATTTGAGGGTCTCGCTTATTCTGCACACAGCATTATTTGGGTTATTTCGTGATCTAGTGGCCAAATTGGCCCTTCACAGCACTTCATTATTGGTGTTCGCTCTATTCATGAAAGTGGTTTCCATGCGAAGGATCTGACGTAAACCTTTGTAATGGAAGGCTTCAAGGCGCGACATTTGAGCGTCTGGGATCTCTAGTGTTTGTAGACCATAGAGGAGTCTAGATTTTACGACTGCATCGAAAATTCTGATTTTGTTCCCTGCTGAGCAATGGGCTTGTTTCCAAAAAATGCGTAAACTCATCCAAGTACTTGTGGCTGCCGCAATTCGATTGGAGACTTCGTTTGCAACTGAGACTGTCAGCGTACCGCCTAGGTACGTAACTTCATCGACTTGTGGGACAGAAGACCCGTCAAGAAATTTGATTCTGTTGTTTCCATTCATAACGAGAACGCAACACTTGCTTTGGTTATGTTTTAATCCATAGTACGCTGACTCACGCTCAATCGCGTGGATAAGTTTGTTCATTCCCTTGGTGTTCTTTGTAACAAGAAGAGTGTCATCAGCATATAGGATCTCGGAAAAGTTGATACGATCAAGGCGACAGTTACAAATATCAACATCAATTTCGTCATGGATATCCTTAAACATGACTGTCATCACTAGCACAAATAAATACGGCGAGAGCGGACATCCTTGGCGGATACCAGCTGCTTGTGTTTTCGAAGTTGAAACCGTTTGATCGTGAGTGACATAGAACTTCGGGTCCGAATAGAACCCAGCAATCACATTTCTCAATTTTACAGGGATATTCATTCTTTCCAGCGCTTCAATCATTCTAGAATGCGCCATTCGGTCAAATGCCTTTTCCCAGTCCAACAAAGTCATAATAACTGTATCACCAGATTGTTCACTAATATCTTGAAGCCGTCTTGCAACATAGAGCGTGCGTTGTACTCCTACTGTGTCTAAAACCAAACTGAGTACGACTTATCATTGGGTCGATGTAGGTCGCAAGTCTTTTTTGGATGATAGAAGCGTACAATTTGTAGGCAATGTTAAGGAGGCTAATTGGTCGGTAATTCGAAATTTTCTGGGTATCGCCTTTTTTGAAAATAGTAACCACTTGTGCAAATAGGTGCATTTCCAGCTCACGTAAATCAATGGGTCCTATGTTGAAATCTAAATGATCTTGTACAACATTTGGTCTGAACGCTTTCCTTGGTGGGAGGTCAGGTTCTTTCCATTGAACATCTTGCAAATATTCTGCGATTGCTTCTGCGCGCCTACGAGGGCCCACACGAAGCCCATCTTTGTCTTTCAGCTTCGTGAAGTTGGGAGAACGCTTCTTTTTTAAACTCTTTATAGCCGCCAATTGTTTCCTAGGGTCATTCGACTCCATCAAACTGTCAACAAGGAAACGCTGTTTGTCTTTTTTGGCATTCTCTTTGATTTGGACAGTAAGGTCTTTTACTTTTTGGGCGTCGTGGGAAGCGTGGGCATCTTGCCTCTCTTCGATTAAGCTCCACGTGTGGTGTGAAAGATATCGTTTCCGCTGCGTCATGGAAATAGGAGTGAGGTTGGTTTTAGAGGCGTCGGTCATGGCTTCAAGAAAATCTGTCATTAAAAGGCCAGCTTTTTGATTCAAAGCATTCTTGATTTGGCTGTTGTAACCCGAAGCCTGGTTGGCATTTGGGGGGCGAAATCTAACTGACTGGCAATCTCTTTTCTGGGTATGTTTAAACTTGACCCTTAGTTTTGCAAGAACTAGGTAGTGATCAGAATCTATGAACCAATCTATATATGCGAAGTCACATCCAACACGGAGTTTTTCCAACGATAGTTTGTGAGAAGAAAATCTAACTGTGCAAATTTGTCTGGCGTCCAAGGCGGAGCATGCGGCACTCCGGCTTCTCTGAAAGTCAACTGATTCTGCGGCGGTTTATCGAAAAAAGTATTGGTGACACACAAATCATTCTGGATGCAAAAGTCAATGAAATGAGAGCGGTTCTCAGCAGTCGCTGCGGCCATGTGTTGGAGATATGTTAGTCCTCTACCGTAAATGAAATTCCCTAGAATGTCACGTTCTTCTGGCAGTTTCCCATGTAGTCTGGCATTAAAATCTCCTGCAATAAACATAGGGTGTGCAGAAGGGAACGACCGAAGGAAAGAGTCAGCCTTGGTATAGAAGGCCTGCTTAGTGGCTACGTCACAACCGCTTTGAGGAGCGTACATGTTGACAAAATGTATATTGGTGGACCAGAGTTCGAGATAGTAACCGACATGATTCTACCGTCCACTTGTTCAAAATCGGTTACCGCTGCCATGAGAAGTGGTGAAAGAACACAGCCAACACCACCATGTTCAGTATCTTCAGCTTGTTGACGATGGCCACGTCCAACATGAGCATTTTTTCCTTTGCCCCTACCTTTGTGCATTCCTGCCTGTGCTCTCCTGGTTTCTGCTGCTTTTCGCTGTTCATCTGTGACACTTGTTGAGTAAATGAACGTGTGTCCATTGATTTTTTCATAGGAATTCGTGTTAATGTGCGTTTCTTGGAGAAGGAGAATGTCAATCTTGAATCGCTTCATTGCAAGAACCAGACTGCTTTTCTGAACATCCGCATCTTCACCTTTTAGTCCTCTGCAGTTCAGTGAACCCATCCTGATGGGGGAGTTGTAAGCCCATTTTCCCAAAGGATCTTTGTGAGGGTGATGTCTGCCCTTTCCAAAATCTTTAGCGAAAGTCTTCAAATTATATGTTGCTTTGTATCGGTGAAAACAGCTGCTACGGCCCGTTGCCTTAAATTTCAGGGTGTTGGCATGGTGCTGCGAGAGTTGCGCTTTAGGGGTTTCCTGAGCCAATGTATGTACACCCACCGGCTTGGCCAGACCGGGTGGGGAAGACAGCACGCTAGATTTGAATAATCGGTAAATCCGTCGACTTAATTTGCGTTTTTCTGAGCGGGCGTGGTTTCTTTTCAAGACTGCAGCTTCTGATCTGATACCTCTTTTTTGGGATCTTTTTTTCTGAGAATGAGTCTGCTGTGCTGACCTGGTCGAGGTGATTTCGTCTCCGCTGGGCTTCAGAAGCCCGCGGCTGTCCCGGCCCACCGTTTGACGGTAGCCCCTCAGTGAAACTTTTGCCATTGCCATGGTGAGACTGAATCTTATGAGAGTTGTGTATTGGAGCGTGTTCTTTGGTATCGTTTTGGTAACGAAGTCCGTGATTCCACGGTAGTCTCAGAACAGAAGAATTCTTGTTAGTATCCGTTTGGTATCGAAGTCCGTGTTTCCACGGTGTGCAGGGACAGCCTGTGAACCCCTATGGGTCCATTTCTTCTTCATGTGTGGGGTGCGCCTTCACCAAGTAGACCTTGTAGAGGTAATCTTGTATTCCTCTTTCTTGCCGTGTTGGTGTTGACTTTCCCTTTCCTCCTCCTTTGCCTTTCCTGTTGGCGAACTCCTCGTCCGAAGGTCTGTTCATTACTTTCTTCCATGCTGCTTCGATGCCATCCTCTACCATATTGAAGAGGTCCTCACGGATCAACATCTTCAGTGTGCCTTCCGTGTCGTTAAACACACACTTGAGTAGGTTGCCTTCATCGTTGGAGACCACGTGCGCCGCCCAGTTCTTGTACATGTTGTGGGTCTGGTTGTGGTAGGTGCAGCTGGCTGTATCGTTGATGACTTGGAGGAAGGCTTTCAGCGGTATGCTTTTGATGCGGTCGGGCGTGCAAATCTGTTGTCGGATCTGTAGGTGGAAGGGTCTGCCGTTGCTGTCTTGTGGTACTGTGTTGTTCTCTTCCCAGTAAGGGAGCGGGTTTCTTCCTGAAGCGACTTTCTTCATAGTCTCAAGGAATTTCTTGGTAGACCAAACACTGCGAAAGTGTAGGATCGTGATCCTGGACATTGCCTCTTCTTGTACTCTATGTGAGGCGTGGACGAACTCACGGTTTGGGATGTTGGCGCGGCCGACAAGCCACTCAATGATTCTGTCTCTATCTTGCTCTTGGGTGTGCGGGGGCCAGTTGGTAATGATGGCCTGGGTGCTTGCTTCTTTTCTCGCCTGAGCGGCGTCTCTTTGCATGAGGTATGCTTGCTGTTTCTGAATTTGCTTCATGCCGCTGAATAGAATGCTGGTGTCATTCCAAAGGTCATTGATGTCCTGCTCTGCTGCACGAAGTCGTTGGTCTCCGGTGTATGTTTCTGTTGTAGTGCTTGCCCTTGAGACCAATGATCTGGCTTCTGAATGTGTTCTGACTGTCTCTTTTCTGGCAGGTGAAGTCTGGAAGAGGTTTTCTGTGTGGGGTCGACGTGGTGTATTGCTGACTTGGCTTCTCCAGTGTTCGGCTTCTTCTGCTCGTTTCTCTTGTTTGGATTTCTTGTCCTTCTTCTCTTTTTTCTCTTTCTTGTCTTTCTTTGCTTTCTTGTGATCTGGTGATTTCTTTTCTGCTGCACTTTCCAGTTGTTGCTCCAATCCTCTCTTGGTTGACGAATCGGCCATGGCTGAAGGTATCCTACAAATCTACTCTAAACCTGGTCACCTCTTGGGCCTTTTTTTCTGCCATACAGGACACAATTCTGTTGTTCTGTGGTAAGAAGTGAAAGAGCATTCTTTAATAATGCGCACAGTTTCAAGCATATTGCACTTTTGAAAGGGATGCTCCATGTCAATAAGACTGCATATATCGTGCAGAAATATTGACTGATTGACTTTTCTAAAAGGGGTACTGCTCCTTTCAAAGGAGGGTTAGACATCTGGAAATGCGCACTGCACTCCTTCAAATGCAACTTTTCAAGGAATACTTCATACTTTGTTTGGATATTGTCCCTGCAAAAACACACTGCATTGCCCCAAAGGAAGATTACTTATTCAGAAGAGTATGTTTGTTTTGAATGCTGCATTTTTTGGCAGGTGTGGGGATGTTGTAATTATGTTGAAGTGATCGAGCATATTCTGCAGAAATTGTCTTTTGTTGAAGGGACGCTGTAGTAGCATTTATCTAAGGTAGAGTGAAGACATGGACACTTCTTCAAGCAATACATACTCCCTAGCGGGCACGAACACAGGTTCATCTGTAGCTTAAGCTTTAACATGTGATTACAGTATTGAAAAAACAAAAAAATAAAAAAGTGCACTCTCACAGTTTCCTACTCTCTAAAAATACCCCTATCCTATCTCATTATACTAGTTGGTTGAGAGGTCTCCCTACTATGGCTTATCATAATCTGCAATTAGGTAGTACAAGAGTTAATAACAACCAATCAAACAAGGTATTTTTAACGGCTCAGTTATACAAAATGGTCCTCCGCCCCCCCAAAAATTGTCTATAAACCATACTTCTACTGATATATCATATACCATAAACCATACAGTTATGGTCATTTATTAGCTACAACTGGTTATAAATGGGATTATACCTCCCATAAATGGGGTTCCTTCAGTACTTAAAACTGGTATTTGGGGCCATATAACCCCTAGTTCTTGGACTTCAATCTCTCCGTTTTGGTTTCATCCAACCAAGCTTCCCCTTAAGTCGGTCCTCACACTCCGTGGGAACCGTCTCTGGAAGCTCGGCGACGAGGCGACGCTCACGGTGCTCGGACTGATCCCAAGAATCGGTGCCCCCAGGCCCCAGTGTTGCGAATGTTGGTTTAGAAACCCAAATTAGACCCATCTGGAAGTTTCCTGAAATGGGGGTACCCCTAGTTACTAGTTATCATCCATTTTAGATTGGGATGTTCCATCAAAAAAAAACATCTATTTGGAGTACCCCCATTTTAGGAAACCCCCGGATATCAATATGTTTCATGTTGTTGAGGTAGCATAAAGCATGGATATTATTGGAGTTATGATCACCAACTTTTTTTCTGTTGATAAACCTCACTGACTATAGATATATCTATCATAAACCATCCTTAACCTAGCTATAAACCCACTTAGATCAACTTACGGTCGCTGTTTTTTGTTTCAGTGACAACGGCCGTGTTTTTTCGGGAGTGTTGACCTCTCAACGGCTTTCTGATTCCAAACTTAGGAAATCTCTGGCGAAATTTCAGAATGCGAAATTTCCCAACTCAAACACAGAAGGTCATTTGGGAGCGGTTCCCCCGAAATAACCAATATTTATGGTGAGAAAACGACTTGACTGGATTGATGGTTACTATATCATCAGGTGATATATGGTTAGAAATGGGGGGGGTCCTGAAATGGGGGTACCCATGGGTACCACTTTTTTTCATCCAAAATTAGGCTATTTCAGTCATGAAACCTCTTGTTTTTGGGGATCCCGCATCTTCAGAAACCCCAAATAGGTATGTGCCAAAATCATCAACCTTCCAGATAGTCTAATCACCCATGATGACCAAGTTTGGTCGAGGCCAGACAAACAACTTACAACCGGGCGATATTGTCATACAGTATGTCTGGAAAATTCCGGAAATTTGAGAAAAATCATAGAAGCGGTGGATAGTGAGTGAACGGGTGAACTAAGCCAAGTACTCATCCACGCAAGATGAATTTAATCACAATGAAGTGGAGAAAACCAAATTCTGCGAAGATGAATGGAGTCCAAACTTCTGATCATCAACCAACGATGTCATGCTACCTGGTTCTTAAGCGTCTTGTTATGGATATTATTGTGTGGGGGTTCACCCACCACTGATTTCAACAGCCTGGATGACTGGATAGCACTGCATGGCAGCTAGCTGATGGATGTTAACTCGGGATTCATCGAACCTGCGGCAGCTAAGGGTAACCTCTCCAAATAGTGACAATGTAAAAGATATGTAAAGCATATATATGGAGGCTTCCTAAAATAGGGATACCCACAAATCATCCAAGTCATTACACCATTTTAGTATTGAGACCCATGGTCTTGAGGATCCACCATTTTAAGAAACCCACCACATATACAACAGCCCAAGGAGTTCTTAGAACAATCCCTGGTGCTCGTGATTACAATTAACTAGCCCGAGATATCTCAAGGCAACTATAACTATCACTAACCCGAGATGACTATTCAAAGTAGAATTCACCAATCTAAGATATACAATTTCCCAGATTCACCCATACTTGAACCTATTCCCAGTTCAAGAAGTCATCATTCACTATTCTTGGTCGACCCTCCGGATACCACAAAACATTGTTTACAAAAATATGTAAAACACTTCACTGGCCATCTCAGGAACCTAAATTGGAGGTACCTACTATTTTGGTAAGGCCTATTTCTTCAGGCCTATGTAAGGGAATATCCCCGTCATCACAATCCTGGCCAAAAATCCCACGTCAGTCGCGGCCTCCACCGAGTGCCAAGTGCCAGGCAATTGCCTTTGACCGTGGCTGAAAATAACCATCAAAAATGTTGGTTTTTTATATGGTTAAATCAAGAACAACTGGGATTCGTAGGTGATAATTGGAAGGTGAAATCAACCAGACCTATTTGGAATTTAGATGTAAAGGTGATAATTGCAAGGTCAAACCTTTCAACAAACAAATCACTTGCATTTATAGGTGATTTATGATGATGAAATTGATTGAATTCTTCCAAAGATCGCCCTAAGCTTCCCAGTCACGAGATAGGTCACCGTCGGGGGAATTTAGCCTTATTAACTAAGGTGGGTTGCCTTCAGTTATGGCCAGAAATACCAAGTATAAGTCAGTCACAACCCATTTATCGAATGACAACCCCACTTCGAACCATTTGTAAGTGGTAATTAAAGGGTTTTAACTGTAGCTGACATGTAAGTGGAAGATGAGGGACATATTAAAACATCCTCGATCCACCCCCAATTTCTGCTGTGTCCGATTTCATGAGAGAATTTTCTAGGGGACATCCAAACGAACGAGCGATGTTCCATCGTTCAATGTTTTGGGTGATTTCCTATTGACAATGGTTTGAAAAAAAAACTGTTGTGATCAACACTACCGATCAACAGGGACTAACACAAGCAACCATGTACCTATTTCCAGGTAGGGGTACTGCACAAAAATTGCCAGGAAATAACCACTAAAAAATAAAACCTGTTAAATCACCTACAAATCTCCATGTTTGTTGGCGATATCCCCATTTGTTGTGATTAATCACCATTGAATAGCCGTAACGCTGGAACATTGAACCATTTCATAACTCTTTTGACCATAAGTATCCAATATGATCATATATGATCCATAAATATCCATATCCTCAATTTAGCCCCATAAAATGGCTTGACAACCTTTACATCCCCATGAAATCGCCATCAACTGCGTCATCTCTCCATGAAAAAAAAAACGAGGTTGCCGCGCTTCCCCAGGGCGCATGTGATAAGGCGCCTGCCAGGAACCTTGGCCTCGAAAGCGGCAAAGAGTTCGGCTGCAAAGTCCCTCAGTCGTAACGAAGCGCTGCCAGGGGGGTCTATGGGTTGTTTGATGATCCATAGGTTTTGTCTAACATATTGAAATATAGTTCATCATCTATAGGTTCAACTATATCAACTATATATAGATTGATCACACACACACACACCAAAAGATCAAACCACCAACCAACAGTGAAAAACACAAGCAACCATATACCTATTTTGCAGGGCAACAAAGCCTTGCGATACTGCGCAAAAACCGCCAGTAAATAGCCATTAAACAATAAAATCTAAAAACCATGTACATCTCTCCATTTTTGTTAACGATACTCTTCTGGAAATCTTGAGAGATCAATGGGATCTTGCCAAGAGGTCTCTTTTAGACAGATTGTACAGAGATCTCATAAAGAGACCTGGCCAAGAGACCTCTTATGGAGATCTTGTACAGAGATCTTGCCAAAAGGTCTCTTACAGAGATCTTGCCAGGAGATCGCCTATATTTTAGGGAGCTTGCACATTTAGCTTGAACAGAGATCTTATTCTGAGATCTCTTACAGAGATCTTGCGTGGAAATCTATTATAGACACCTTGCACAGGTAGCCTTACAAAGGGGTCTTGCACAGCAGCTTCTACAGAGAACCGGTCAAGGAGATCTTGCGCACGGTCTTTTACGGAGATCTTCACTAAGGGAACTTGCAGAATCTAACCTGGTATCTCTTCGTCATGTTCCTTGCAACACTTTTTGGTTCTCTTGCCGGGATAATTCTTTGTTTCTGAGCACTTGGAAGTGCAGTTCCGTTTATAAAATGGATATATTAATTATACCCCAGTTGTTTAATATATATATATATATGATATGGGATATCCCCAATTATAAAGGGCTTTAAAGGCACTTATGATGCCTGGCACATCCAACCAGCACCAGTTCCCAAATCATCACATTGCTCGAGGCACACGTCCGGTTTCACCGCATCTGTCGACTTCCCAACTTCGGCGAAGGGATCGAATTCGGAGAGGAAATCGACCTGGAGACTTCATGGGACTTTCATGGGACTTTCATGGGGATAGCTTGGGATATGTGGATTATCTAATTATCTATGGTTGATCTAGAATCATATACTAACGGTGGTTTATCTATATGATAGTGGTATGTCTATGGTTTAT